AATTTTCTCTGCCCAGAAATACTATTGCTTATGTTCTGCAGTTTGGGGTGAGGGAAATATTTTGGTCCATTTCTTTTACAAAATGGGGAATATGCCTATATCTGCTCAGCAGCCCGCCCCTCTCCTAGTACTATGCAGGGGTAGACGCTCCCATCATTGGGGTGTTTTGTTCGCTTTGGTTAATATTTATCTAAAGTACCATCACACACCTGAACCATTGGTTATTTGCCCTTTTCCCTATAGCGAATGTTTTGGCCTTTTCTCATTTCTTGATTATTGCTTTGGTTAATCTCTCTCCATGTCTGTCTTTCTGTCTCTCTCCCTCCCTCTCTGTGTCTCTGTCTCTACACACACACACACACACACACACACACACACACACACACACACACACCTGTCTCTCTCTCTATCTCTCTCTCTCTCCATTCCCCCCCCCCCACCCAATGTGTGTCTGTATGTGTCCGTCTATTTAAATCTTTCTCTTCAGAGCTGCCTGAGAGAATGCTGGAAATAGAACCTCTGGCTCCATTCAGACCTTTATTACGTCAGCAGCTATTTTTCCTCAGACGTACTACTCTAATTGCCACAAACACCGGTGAGATATTAGAGATCCCTTGTGGCTCCTGGCCAGCATGTGGAATACCAAGTTTTATGTTCTGCACTGCCAGAGGCAGCAGAAGCGGCAGTCAGGCTAGTGATGTCTGACAGGCCGTGGTTTGGGTGATCACTACACAAGACAGGAAAGTGGAAAAGGCCCCGGAGTACGGACAGGGACTGGGGTCCCGGAACTGGGGTGACACTCTTTAACAGGCCTCTTTATAATGCATCGCTGGGACACACTTAGGGTCCGTGGGAGAATAATGAGCCTGTGGTACGTCACTACTTAGTAATCTGCAGGTAAGGCAGAAGGATGTGGCGTCTAGAGGCCAGGAGAGGCCTGTCAGGAGCTGGTGGGGCAGCAGCCAGTGGGCCCGTGATTTCTAGGTCCCATCTTCCTCTGTGATGCTGGGCACCCCAGGTGGCTGTTTCCCACATCTTTTCAGCTGTTGACCCATCCTCTCTTTTCTTCATCTGAGAACATTCCGTTGCTTTCTTGTTTCCGGACACCTTCCTGAAGTGAGATCCTGAACGTGGAGAGAAAGAACAGAGACTCTAAAAATAGAACTCCAGCCCTCATTATGGGAGGAGAAATAAAAAGAGTGGAAGGTGACAAGCTTTTCCACCGTGTATCCATAGCCTCTCCCTCCTGCCAAGGTATCCTTCGCAGCCGCTGCCTCTAAGCGGACGTGGGGTGGGCAAAAAGCCCCTCGTAAAGCCGGTCTGCTTATGCTGACGTGGTCAAATGGTCAATCTACCACAATAAAAAATAAATAAAACTTGTTCTCTGGTGGAAGAAGCTCAGGCCTCCTTAGATAAGCCAACGGACTCCCGCCTGCAGGATTTGGGACATTGGGCAAGGTATTTAGCTCCTAGTTCACCTGTAGGGTAAGGAATTAGTACAGTACTACATTGTAGGCTCGTCCATCTTTAGTAAATCCTAACCTGAAGCGTACCTCGTATCGTACTTGGCATGCAGTAAGCACACTTAAATGTTTATGCTATTAACTTAAGCCAGACGAGCCCCACCTGAGGCTTGGGAAGTATTAGGCAGTGTCCTTCGGTGATCACTGTGGCGGTTCTACAGGTACCCAGTGAGGAGAGCCAAGGGTTGCTGCCACACAGCTAACAACACACAGCACAGCCCCTCAAAACAAAGACGGGGCCGGCCCAAGCATCAGCAGTCCAGGGGGAACCCCAGGTTTCAATAGAACACCCAGCAATGTGCCTCCACTCAGAAGTATAGGTCAGGTGGAGAGGTGGGTTGGGGACAGCAATTCCTGCTGTGGAGGTTGGGAAGGACAGACGCTTCCTTGGAGATGTGCAGATAAAGATCCCCTTGGGAGGCATCTCCTAAAGGAGGGGGAGTTGTCACCAAGAGACTCTTGCAGCTCTTTTTTTTCTGTAGTAAGAGGGTGACTCAGAGTGTCCCCAAGCTCTCATTGCCCCAGGGAGCTAACGCTGGCAGCTCCTGTGAAGAGGACCCTGGAAGGACAGTGTGTGGTTCCTGCCTGCGGCTGAATGTGTCCTGTGTTTAGGGAAATGATCTGGAAACTGTCTGAGAAAGAAGTCACTGTCCTGAGTAGAACTAAAATAAGTCGTGACACGCACACAAGAAGAAAAGATTAAATCCCATGTTCAAGCAGCTACCCACCACAAGGAGACTCTGTTACCCCCTTGCCGTATAAAGGGTTATTTAATCTGACTTTCAAATGGTATAATCATTCACTTCGCCTCACGCACACTGCTGTGCAGGCTCTTCACACCAGAAGGTCTGTGTTCTCTTACTAGCAATGAAGGTTTGAGAAAAGAGCTTTATTCCTGGTCTCCAAAATTTTATTCTTAGGCTAACCCTGAACACATTTGTAAGGTATCCCAAAACCCATTTCAGCCATGGCAGGACCATATCAGGGAAAGGAGCCTTTAGGAGAGAATGGCCTTGGGCATTTTGGGCAATGCTGGTCCTTAGAAGCTGGGGTGTAGGCAATGATGACGACAGAATGAATGGGAGACCCTCCCCACCTGATGCGGGACACCTTTGCCCCCCTTTCTCCAGACTCCTGCCTCCCTCCATGTGCTGGGGCTTTCTAGAACCTTGCATGTGTTCAAGTGGCTGCTGTAGCAAGGAATCCCATTAGAGGCTTGGAGGGGCGGGGGGGGGGGGCCAAAGGTGACTCAGGCAGGGGGGCGCCCAAGGGGCGGGGGGGAGGGAGCCAAAGGTGACTCAGGCATGGGGGCGCCAAAGGTGACCCAGGCACAGGGGCAATACCCGAGTCCTCGGTAAAATGGAGAGAACTGTCCCTAGTTCCGCTAAGACGGTGGTAAGCGCAGTGAAGAACCGAACGGTACTTAAGAGGGCAGAGTGCAGCCGGACAGTGGCGCCTTTAATCGCAGCACGCAGGAGGCAGAGGCAAGTGGATCTCTGTGCGTTCGAGGCCAACCTCAACCTGGTCTACAAGCGCTAGTTCCAGGCCAAGTTCCAAAGGTACAGAGAAACCCTGCCTCGAAAAAACAGGAAATAAAAAAGGCAGAGTGGGGATTGTTTTCTTGGCACGTGGCACAGGAGTTGAAATTTGCGTGTTGGTCAGGAGGTAGGTGTGTTTAAATGATGCTGTGATACTCTAAGAGAAAGCCAGAGCTGCTGTATGGAGAAGCTGAATATGCCAGGAAATGAGATTTTTCAGGATCTCTGGGACAAATGAATATCGAGACCAGTAAAAGTTCACAAAGCCAGGACTTGTGTCATCCATGGAGGAGCGTGGGACTCTGCTACTGTTACAAGATATGTGTTCTTCAGCAAATTTTGTTACCCCTGGTGCCTCAGTATTTTCATCCAGAAAATGGACATAAACATCTTGGCCCTTATATCCTTATGCTGGAGATTAAATGAGTAAATGTGCTTTAGTACATTCTGAGTGTTATCTGGCACAGCGTACGCTCCTACAAGTGACAAAAACTTTGACTGATATTTCTGATTTTTTTAAAAAAGGTAGCAAGATGAAATTGGAGAAGGCACTTCTGACTTCTGAACCAAGCCAAAAGGATGGGGCAGAGAAGTGGAGACTCACACAGGGAAGGGCTGCTGTCATGAGTTGCCACAGGACAGCTTCGAGGGGCTCTGCTCAGAAACAGGGCCATGTCTTATAGGACACAGGATGCAACTCAAGAATCTATCTCTCTGTTCACCTAGCCTTCTGTATTCTCTTGCTTTCTAGTTCTGAAAGTATTGATTTTACCATCTGTCTGATATTAGCTGCATTAAAGTACTCCCAAGACATCCCAACCCCCCCACCCCCGCCACACACACTTCTGTTAACGGAGAGACCTGGGACCAAACACTATGATCCCAAAGGAGGGCAATCCAGTGCTTTTAAAGACACAAAGGGCCTGAAGACAGGCTGGGGCACTAACAAAATGCACACCCAAGATGCTTTGTTTAAAAAGAAAACAGCAGTGATATTTGCCTTTTAGTTAAGGTGTGTCTTCTTGCGGGATTGCAGGAGCATGGGGAGGGGATGAAGGAAGATGCTAGAACCCTGTAGTGAGGTAGCCTTGCCTTCTGACCCTCTGGCCTGGGAGCCAAATGATTTTCACTTTTCTCACAAGCTCTGACTGTTGCAGTTTGATAAATGTGTAAGAGTAAAGACAAGGTTTTCAAGTACTGGGCAGTTAAATATATATGTGTGTGTGTGTGTGTGTGTGTGTGCGCGCGAGAGAGAGAGAGAGAGAGTCTATCCCTATAAGATTAAAGAATCATGTGAGTTTAAAGGTTTAGTCTGCTGGAGGTCAGCCCAGGATGAGATTCAGAGGCCCAGAATAATTGGATACAGCTTTGACTAGGAACACCACAAGAAGCATGTGTGTGTGTGTGTGTGTGTGTGTGTGTGTGTGTGTGTGTGTGTGTACGCGCGCCTGCATGCACACACGCGCATGTGCACACATGGCTGCCTCCCTGGCTCTCCTGTGCTGACTGGATAATCAGGGGGTGGCTGCACATGAATGTGTGCTATTGTTCCAGGCACATGCCAGCCTTAAGAAACAGCACAAAGCAGGCCCATCCCTACTCAGCCAGAGCCCCCTCCAGCACTCAGTCGTCCCTTCCAGGTCACATGCCTCGCCTCGGGGCTCTGCAGACGGGACACAGCTGTCTCAAATCTGCTGCCACAGTCCCCCAAAGTCTGCTGGCTCTAGAGAGCTCCCACAGGGAGACTCGGGAGATCCGAGACCCAAGCACCATGCTCTCTCAGGAGCTCTGGCTGGAAAACGAGAGAAAATGTGCTATGGTTCGCAAGTCCAAGCCTGGCAGGAAGCGTCAAGAGTTGCTGGCCATTGCGTTTGGGGTGAAGGTGGGACTCAAAGGTGGCTTGCTTTGGTCTCCTCTCAAGCTCTTTGCTTGTTCACAGATCTCCTCCCTTGTCAGAAGAGCTGCCCTCACACACGACAACCACTTCAACTATGAGAAGACACACAACTTCAAGGTGAGCATCTACGTTCTTTCTGCTGTTCTGTGGGGGGAGGGGAGGCGGGGGTGGGAGAGGATCCTTGAGGACTTCCATCTGGTCTCTAGTCAGAAAGGCAGGACGCAGCAAAATCCTTCGTTTTCCACATAACCCACTGCCTTGTGTCAAACTGAAGGCCAGGGAGAGCAGCTAGCTCCACAGGGCTGCCCTTAATACCTACACATGTACTGACTTAGATCTGGGAAGCCAGGCCCACTTCTTCTTCACCTTTCCATGCCCAGTGAGAGGGGCGCAGAAGATTCCCAGTCGGTGGCGCTTAGAAGTGTTCTGCACAAAACCTAGCGGTATTTTTCCACCCAGAAGAAGGGCTGCTGCTGTCTGAGAGACAGTGCAAACAGCTGTCCAGCTCTTGTTTGGTGTTTTGTCTTTTGTTCTTTGTGATTCTGTTTCTGCGCAGACAGCTGCAGATGTCTTAAGGCGAGAACCCATTCACTGACTCGCATGTGTGCTTTGGGTTCAGGGGCACCTTACAGGCTGACCAGGCTTGACCCCGGTCTCCAGTCTAAACAAAAAGTTAGGGGAGTTGGTGGCTTCAGTGGTTTTCCCCCCATGTACTGTCTTCATTTTAGACCCGCTCTGGATGCGAGCTGCCGCCAGAAGACTAGGGCCTGCTTCTTGTGCTGTGCTGTGTTGTCCAAGGAGTGTTCAGAGGGGAAACCCATGACAAATCGCCCAGCATGGGAAGCTGCTCTGGGGAGAGAGGCTGGACCATGCTAGAGATTCACCTAAGTGGATGGGGGATGCTGTGTGAAGCTGGGGATTTTCAGATGCAGGAACCAGGAAGAAAAGAATAGGTGCAGAACCAAGCTGCGGCTTGCCTTCCTCTGTTGAATTCTGCTCTCTTTCTGGGGCCACAGCCATAGAAATGAGATTGAGCAGCAGGAACAAGGAAACCAATGAAGGGTCAGCGTTTTCTAAGGATATATGTGCACCTATTAAATTTGCATTCGTGTTAGCCTGGTCTATTTCTCCGCTTCTAGTTTAGGAAAGCATGCAGCTCAGGCCGTTGCCTGCTGTCCTTGACCAGAGGAATGGAAACCTTCAACCCTAGGGATTAGGATGGGCGGAGAGTTGTGCCCTTTAGGGTCTCTTCCACACTAAGACTTTTCTCTTTCTCCCCTTACTAAATAATGGCAGGTCTGGAATACGAAATGTCCTCTTTTATTTTCTCCTTCTGGTTTTCTATTTTAATCCCTGTGATCTTTTCTTTCCTTAAGAAAGTGTTTTTCTGACTTTTGACGGGAACCCTTGGTCTGGACATCCTGTGGATGCTCTGCCAGACCTGACAGGATAGGTCTTGCTGGGTGTGCAGATTTCTTTCCTTCCTTTCCAGAATTCCAGTGATTTTGCTCTGAAGGTGCAATTTGATTGCATTAGTATAACATAGCTTCACAGTGGGAATTCCCCCATGAGTTCAAAAGTTATGCGGACTCAGGTGACAGGCCCGTCAGTCACAGCCAGTGCCAGTCTGTTTTAGCTTACATCTCTAAAGGGGAAATTTTAAGGCTGTCTGAAAAAGAAGGGTTGAAAAGATGCAGTTAGATTCCCTAACTGTGCTGCCAGGATATTTTGGTAGAAGAACAAAGCATTCAGTGTGCCATGAAGAGAGAGAGATCCCAGTATATATGTGCTGTCCCAGGTGAATCCACGAGACAGACAGAAACACACCCCTTTTGTGGCTTACACAGACGTCTTTGAAACCCAAGAGGCCCTGGAGTAGCTATGGCAGCAAATGTGGCTTTCAGTGGTGCTGCCCCTGCCTTTGTCCTTAGAATAAGTGCTGGGGCTGGAGGAGGCACTCACTGTGCTCTGATTCATATTTTTCCACCCTAGGTCCCTTACCCTCTCCTGACCCTCAGCTGACTGCAGACAGAAACTTAGCATGATCTTTCGGGAAAACATTCTAGAAACATGTCATTGCTGTAAATATAGCCATGGGTTTTTAGGAATAAGTCACTAAAGAAAACAGGCTTTTACCAAGGGCCCCACTAACCACTTGTATTTATGTTTTATACCTTCATTTTACATCAGCTTTTTATTTATGTTGACTGCTAATGGGTTGTATTCTGGAACTTTCCTGATGGGTTATTGGAAGATGCTATGTACATAGCATGGCGTTAGTGTAACAAGAATGCATAGTCGTGGTTTTCTGTGCTAATCAGCAAATCACTTTCGCTTTGCTCCGATCTGAACTCTTACCTGAGATAGGAATCTGTGGGCAGAACCTGCTGCCTCACCCACAGCAAGCCTCCTTGCACCATTAGGTCTGCTGGGGGTTGGGGGAGGGGTGTTAGAGACCTCTCTTCCATGCTGTACTCAGGAACTTCTTCATGGGGAATGAAGAGAAACTCTCCACATACACAACTCTGGGAGAGTGCTCTTCTCAGACGCCCCAGAGAGCAGAGCCTACCAGGGACCTGCTTTTCAAACAACACAGCCAAGAAATTAAAAAAAAAAAAATCCAGTGCAGTAGCTTTTGGGGTTATGCCTCACTACATGCGATAATCGTGTACTTGGCAAAGTGTTGCCTGCTGCTGTTGTGGTTATTCAAAGCTGGGGTTTCCTGGGACTCCTGGCTCCTACTCCACTCAAAGACAGAGGTGAAATTAAGATTTCAATATAAACAAAAAATACCTATAGAGGAAAGAGCTTCCACTCTGTTTGGCCGGCAGGGGAAACTCTCAGTGCATCTGTGCTTCACTTGTAAAACTCTCCAGGTGAGCCAACCCCAAGCCCCAGCAGCCTGCATCCATGTCCTTCCGTGCCATCAGCACGTGGCAAGCATCATGACTACTCATCAACTCTAGCAGTGAGCTTAGCTCTCTTAGCTTCAGTTTCCTTGCTGGTAAAATGGGACCCTTGCAGGGTTTTATGTTTACATGCTGACTAGCGGTTAGCTCCTCTGTTACTGCTCTGCCCAGGGCTTTCTTTGCATAATTACACTTGGAAAGCGAATACATGTGAATTATGTGTCACTTCTCTGTCCCCTGGGTAAGAAGTCATTTGATGTACACTTTTACTATCACTTTATTCTTCATCCTTTTGTGCCCTGCACTTCCCTCTGTCTTCGTGTTTGGTTTTCTCTGTGATATACTGTGTGATATATACATATTGCCCTCACTTCTACAGGCTGATCTATCTTTCCACCATTTTTCTTCCTCTCTTATATAACAGAATATGTGTAACAGAAAATAAAATGAAGTCTGATGTTGTTTCTTTCTATGTGGTCTACCATGTACCTGAATGCCCCTCATCTGTTTAAAAAGTAGATGAAGGGTTTAAATTTTTAGACCTGGATTCCATGTGTATTTTTTCCCAGTTTTCAAGAAGTTTAACATATCTGTGAGGACTTTAGCAAGTTCCTGCCTCTGATGTAACAAATAACCATAACTTTGGTAACTTAAAACAACACAAATTTATTTTCTTAGTTTTAGATGTCAGAGTCTGTAGCCAAGCTGTGGGCATTGGCTCCTGCTGGAGATGCCCCATGCCCTGGCAGTCCTTGGAGTTCCCTTGGCTCCTATTTCTTCCCCTGTCTTTATAACACCATCTTCTGTGTCCTTGTAGGTTTTCTTTAAGGTCACCAGTCACTGTGTGTAGGGCCATGCTAGCCCAGCACAACCTCTTTCTAGTTATGTCTTCCAAGACCTTATTTTCTAAAGGCTACATGTTCAGTGACCGAGAATTGGACTCGATCATACTTCAAGACACAGTGCAGCCCATTCTAAGGACTACATTGGTATTTTCAGAAGACTTGAGGGGGAAGGACCTCTTTCTCATCTTTGAGGATACATCTTCATCTTCCACACACAAGTTCAAGCCTGCCATTTTACTAGAGGCTTTCAGGCCACAAGATGACATCTTTTGACAGTAACTAATGTCTACTAAGTGTCATCCCTTAGTGTGGGTACCACTGCTAAGATCCATGGTTACTCATTCATCATCTTTAAGGTTTTCATTGATTTATTTTTTTTTCTATTGGTGCTTTATCAGTCTGACAGAAAAGTGAAGAAATTTCCTGGTTTCTTAATTAAACATTTCTTCAAGAATAAAAGGTACAGTAAAGACACAGAAATCTTAAAGCAGCAGGATGCCCTTCCACTTGGAGTGTGGCATCAGAAGTGTCGATTTGCTCTGGTTTGTTCATATAGAGAATATATATTTCACTGTTAAGGATCTGGCATGGCTATTAGGTAAGACGTATGGCTAGGCTGCCCTGACTGCATAATAGATGTGGCTTAATGCCAAACAAAACTGTGAGGTACTGTTAAAATAGTAGTCAAGACAAAACAGGAGAGCCCTTAGCCAGGATGCCCCATGACCACTGTGCCGTTTCACAGCCAGGACTGCCCCTTAGCAAAGCTGAAGAGGAATGTGCTCATCTCTAGCACAACTCCAACCCTGTTGTTTCTCTTGCCTCATCGCTCATGTCTTCCGTTTTCCCAGTATTCCTCTACTGAAAAGTGCCATCACTATTCAGTAGACCTGGGCTCCTCCCCCACTCCATTCTTTTTTTTGGCTGACAGCAGGAATTTCAGCCAAGTGTGAAAGCAGTTTGTAGAGAAAGGCCTTGTGTGGTCAGATGTCCCACCTTCGTGCCACAGCGGACTCAGAGCATGTCTCCCACCCAGCTAACCTTTATGTGTGTGTCAGGGTGTCTTTGTCACTGTCACTGCAAATCCGTGCAGACCAACAGAGCCAGGGATCGAGACTGGGACCTGACGCAGCCCGCAGCAGGGTGCCCACGTTCGGCCACGCCAGGACGTGGCTCAGCCATACAGCTTCACAGTGTCAGTTACTGGCTACATCATCTGACCCCTATCAAGTGCTTAACTGTTCTTAATTTTTTATGGACTCTGTCTGGCTCTAAAGAACACAAAATTCAAAAGGACTATTCTGAATGACCAAATGCCCAATTCTGGCACTTTCCACCCAGAGAAATGAGCCCTTTGTGTTTT